GAATTGGATGGATTGATAATAGTTGTGGAAAGTGGGTCCATAGTGGGGTCCAAGTTAAATTATTGCCATGAGTGTGGGGTGAGATTGGAGGAGTCAGCTTATTTGGATGTCAAGGAGCCAGCGCCGATAGGGGTTTCGACTAAAGATAATCAGGTGCTACATAAGCCTTGTGGCGAGTCCCAGACAGGGGCTGAAGTGGACATTTCTTCTGGAGATGAGAATTGGGATGAGATGGAGGGAATGAAAAGGGGTGGAGTGGAACCAAGGATCGAGGCATATCGAGGGGCGGAACCTCGGACGGAAGTAGGAGAGGAGGGCATTATGAATATTGACTCGGAAGTTTTGGAAGCGAACAGAGTTATTTGTTCTACGATCGTGGGGTCATTAGACACGATTCAACTTGTAAAGGGATCATTGTCAGATGATGTGTAAGAGGTTGGACTTGAATTGGGTGAAAACTTAGGGTCGGCACTCGAAGTCTAGCATGGGAAAACAGGCTCGGCCACTAAGGTAGTGAACACCTACAGCAGGCGATGCTCTAAGTCTTCGAAAGAATGGGGTCTAGGGAATGATAATGCGTTGGTGGTGTGGGTGGGTGGGTGGCGCCGAGAAGGGAAACACAAATAATGTTGCTGAATAGGTGGAGGAAGAGGAGGGACACTACTACGATCCTAATTATGTTGAGGAGATAGCAAAAGTTAGTGCAGTTGACGTCAGACCACCACCTTCTAATTGGGTTCTTCAAAGAATCTGGATTTTAGCAAGATGGTAGGGATGTCTTGTGATGGGTACGAAGATAGGCTCATCTAATTATTTGAGGAATTGGAGGCTAGTAGGGGACAAGGGATGGGCACTCTAGGAGGTAAGATAAGAAGAAAGAGCGATGGTGAGCTTAAGCGGCTTGAATGTTCAATTAACTATGATATTAAGGGTGGCGAGTCGAGGAGAGGCCTAATGAGGACGGATGATGGAGTGTTAAGATGATTCCGAAAATAATTAGTTGGAACGTATGGGGGCCTAATGAAGCAGGGAAAATGTTAGGAGTTCGAAATCTACTAAGAGGATGGAGGGCTGACCTTGTATGTTTACAAGAAACAAAGCTTGAGGTTGTGTCAAGGGATATTGTAGCCTTTGTGGGGGACAGCATGTGGGGTATCAGTTTATAGGGTCATCGGGGGCCTCAGGAGGTATTCTGATAATGTGGGACACCAGAGTCTTTGATATGGAGGAGGTTAGCGAATGTTTGTTTTCTCTATCGATTCGTTTAGAAATATCGAGTATAGTTTCCCGTGGATGTTTATAGGAGTCTATGGGCCCAACGTAGATGAGCATAGAAGTGGACTGTGGGTTGAATTGGCTGGAATGATAGCTTGGTGGAACCTTCCAACGTGTATCGGGGGAGATTTTAATGTGATCCGTTTTCCTATTGAGAGGTCTAATAGGGAAGATTAACAAGGGCTATGGAGGACTTTTCAGATTTTACTAGGGAGAACGCGTTGGTGGACCTGCCTATGATTGGGGGAGACTTTACTTGGTCATCTAATCGGGATCAACCTATCCTATCCCGAATAGATCGGTTTTTGGTATGTAGGCCATGGGAGGCTAAGTATCCAGAGGTCATTCAGAGGAGAATGGAGAGACTGTATTCTGATTATTTCCCTATCTGGGAATGTGAGGTGCAATGGAAAAAAACTTTTAGGTTTGCGAATATGTAGCTTAAAGTAGACGGTTTTGAGGAACGAGTACGGACTTGGTGGGCATCCTATGACTTCAGGGGATCTCCCCAGTTATGTATTGGATTGCAAATTAAAGGCGTTGAAAAGGGATCTACAGAGGTGGAATGACGAGGTGGTGGGATATGTTAACCATCGCAAAAATCAATGCTTATCAAACATTGAAGAGCTGGATAGGAGGGAGGAGAGTCAAGGATTGGTAGGAGAAGAGAGGGTGAGACGAGGGGAATTAAGGGAAGAATTGGAGAGGTTGGTGGAGATGGAGGAGACTATTTGGCGTCAAAAATCTAAGATCAAGTGGTTGAAAGAGGGGGATAAATGCACCCACTTTTTCCATCGGGTCGTGAACTCCAATAGGCGCAACAATTATGTCAATATGTTGAACGTAGATGGCATTACCTATGAGGATCCACAGGATATAGGGACCCAGATGGTAAGTTTCTGTCAGAATCTTTATCGGGAGCAGTTTGACTGGAGGCCAAAATTGGAAGGGCTAGAGTTTTCTTCTATATGAGGACACCAGTTGGTTAGAAAGGCCATTTGGGGAGGATGAAATTAGAGAGGTGGTGTTCAACATGAATGATGATAAGCCGCCAGGACCGGACGGATCGTCGTTCTCATTCTATAAGACTTATTTAGGAAGTGGTGTTTGACATTATCGAAGTCCTTACTTATTTCTTTCAATGTGGAAGGTTCCTGAGAAGTGCCAATGTTACATTTATTGTGCTGATTCCAAAGAAACCGGGAGCGACGGATATTAAAGACTTTCGTCCTATTAGCCTTGTGAGCGGAGTTTACTAGATTATTGCGAAGATTTTGGCAAATAGATTGAAGGAGGTGCTGGGAAAAGTGGTGTCCAAGTTTCAGAATACTTTTGTTAAAGGACGCCAGATGTTGGATTCAGTACTTATAGCAAATGAATGCATTGACTCAAGACTGCGTTTGGGTGCCCCTAGAATGCTATGCAAACTTGATATTCAGAAAGCTTACGATCACGTAAATTGGAGATTTCTCTTGTATATGCTCAGACAATGTGGTTTTGGGGATAGGTGGTGTAAGTGGATTCAGTTTTGTATCTCCACAATTTCCTTTTCAGTTATGGTGAACAGCATTCCGGAGGGTTATTTTCGTAGTAGTAGAGGATTGAGACAAGGGGATCCTTTATCACCATTGTTGTTTGTCATTGTAATGGAGGCTTTCAGTAGGACCCTCGAGAAGGCCATGGGGGGAAGTTTACTGAGGGGTTTTATGGTTGAGCAGTTATAGATATCTCATTTGCTCTTCGCAGACGACACACTGATTTTCTGTGACGTAGATGTAGAGCAAATCAGGAACTTGTGGCGTTCGCTCCTGTGCTATGAAGCTGCATCTGGATTGAAAATAAATTTAGGGAAATCTGAAGCTGTCACAGTGGGAGAGGTGGATATCATGGTGGAGTTGGCTGCTATACTAGGATGTAAGGTTGCGCGATTACCTATGACATCTTGGGCTGCCTTTAGGCGCACGGTTTAAAAGCGCACATATTTGGAATAGTATTGTTGGAAGGGTGGAGAGAAGGCTAGTGGGGTGGAAGCGTACGTACCTCTCAAAGGGAGGGCGTCTTACTCTCATAAGGTCCACATTGTTGAACCTCCTTACTTCATGTCATTGTTTCCTATTCTTGTTGCAGTAGCAAAAAGATTGGAGAGGATCCAAAGGGAGTTTCTTTGAGGAGGATTAGGAGAGGAGAGGAAATTACATTTGGTTAATTGGGATGTTGTATATTCTCCCATGAGGTTGGGTGGTCTTGGATTGAGGAGTCTCGTACTATTTAATAAAGCTTTGTTGGGTAAGTGATTGTGGCGATTCGGGACGGAGAGAGGGAGTTTTTGGAGAGATTGTAGGAGCAAAATATGGTGTTATGGAGGGGGGATGGTGCTCAGTCGAGAGTCGAGGCTCTTATGGGGTGTCTGTGGCGGTATATCCAGCGAGGGTGGAGCGATTTTCAGGATAGATTGACTTTTGTAGTGGGGAATGGTAATACTATCAGTTTTTAGGATGATTGTTGGTGTGGAGATCAACCACTAAGATTGAAATTTCCTTCTTTATATCGTATTGCGTTGTTGCCGTCTGCCATGGTGAATGATGTTTTAGATATACATAATGGGAGTATCAGTTGGAACATTGCTTTTGCACGGAGTTTGCAGGACTGGGAGTTAGATGATTACGCGTTGTTTTTGACATCTTTATATGAGGTACAAATCAGGGCAGGAGATGGTGATTGCAGCAGGTGAAAGTTGGCACGGGATGTCATGTTTTCATTCGGCACTTTCTTTAAATCTTTATTGTGATCTCGAAGAGCTCTTTTCCCTGGAAGGCGGTGTAGAAGAGTAAACTGCCATCAAAGGTAGCATTTTTACTATGGACAGTGGTCAGAGGACAGGTACTAATGGCGGAAAACCTATGGACAAGGGATTTTTGTGTTACAAAGAGGTGCTATATGTGTAGGAGGGATGGAGAGACGAGTGATCACACGTTCTTCCACTGTTATGCTCTGCTAGTTTACTATGGAATGAGATTTTCGCATCGCAACACATAGATTGGGCGATGCCAAGGCATATGGAAGACGTGTTGAATACATGGAGGAGAAAATTTCATGACAAGGATAGCAAACTTGCATGGAAACTTATTCCGGGCTGCATAGTTTGGTGTGTGTGGAGAAAAAGGAACAGCCGATATTTTGACGATCTAACAAGAACAACAGAGCAACCCTAGAGAATTGTTTTATTTAACATTATACACTTGGTTTAATGCGGTGGCTACTAAGCATATGGATGGGCTGCCCAATTTTATGTCATTTCTTTCGGATTTGTATTGATAATACATTTCCTATGTAATATATTTTGATTAATAAAATACTTGATTATCTTTCAAAAAAAAAAATGACCTTCTCACTCTATTAATTAATTTCTTGGCCATTTAATGCAATGTCATGCATATAGAATTTACAGGGTTGAGGAGAATTCTAACGCTCTTTATTTCTTTGAGTACAATTACCATACGGGGAAAACTTTGCATTTTCACTTAGATGAAAAAGCACGCACATTTTGTGAAACATGATCCAGAACTATTTGATAGTCTTCCAAAGCACAATTCTGTGTCCTGCTTTGCTTGGGACTCTATTGTTTGAATTTCTTACGTCATTGTTTTCTTTCACATGAAGCATGATGTTTTACAGAAATTATGTAATGAAATTTCCGCTCCTCATGTATATAGTATGATTTCCAGGCTCCTTCACTCTTGCCAGCACTTCTTTCAAAGCATGGTCAAGATGGTAGCGTGTCTACTGGCACGAAATCCTTAAAAGTATTTTCACTTCTTGGTGCTGGAGCATTGGGCCTCCTGGGTTGTGCAACAGTAGCTTCTTCCGATGAGGCTGAGCATGGGTTAGAGAGTCCCAACTATCCATGGCCTCACGAGGGCATTCTCAGTTCATACGACCATGCTTCGTAAGCAATGCTTTTTTGCTCTAGTATTCTTCAACGGTTTGAGAAACTATTACACAAGGTCTAACCTATCTGATTGAATTTGGAAACGAAATCACCATGGGGGCGCCAATATGGAACTTGTGTTTTCCACTAGTGGCCCTTAACCTAATTTATTTTTGAGGTCACTGATTTTTCAGAAAGAAATTTTGAGTGTCTAGTATCTGTTTGAATCCATTCTTTGATATAAACTCCTTCTCATGGCTGTGAAAACTTTCATGCGCAGGATTCGTCGTGGTCATCAGGTTTACCAGCAAGTTTGTGCATCGTGCCACTCAATGTCTCTAATTTCTTATCGTGACCTAGTTGGTGTGGCTTACACTGAGGAAGAAACTAAAGCTATGGCGGCAGAGATTGAAGTGGTTGATGGTCCAAATGACGAGGGTGAGATGTTCACTCGCCCTGGGAAACTGAGTGATCGTTTTCCTCAGCCTTATGCTAATGAACAAGCTGCAAGGTTTGCCAATGGAGGTGCCTATCCCCCTGATCTAAGTCTTATAACCAAGGTGTCCTTTTGCTCTTTCTAGATTCAAATAAGTTCTGAGTAATGTTTATACCTTCATTGCTAATTATTTACCTTGCAGGCCCGCCATAATGGACAGAATTATGTTTTTGCTCTTCTAACTGGGTACCGCGATCCTCCTGCTGGTGTGATGGTAACTTCTGCTTCTGAACTGTCTGTTTTGTTTAAAAAAAATAGCGCAAATAGTAATGATATATTATATAAATTTTGCTTACACTGTTGATAATCTAAACCATACATTGATGCAATGTACAATTTTAAATTGGTTGCTCCTATTTTTGACCTGACATCATTCTAAATGGTGTTGTACGAGTAACAAATTTTTTATTGTTGTGATCCTCTGCTGCACACCTCTACTACTCTTGTTCGTAGAAGCTCTTGAATAGGTGTTATAGGCGGCTCTCTCACTGGATGTTAAGGTAGGGTTGGGCATGTATCCAAGTATTTTTAAAATGTGGATTCTTATGCATAAGATAAAAGGATCCATATGTCATAAAGTTGTCCGAGTCTGAAGTGCCTGAAATAGGTACTCTAGCTTCTTTCATGAGTCCGTATAATATAGCCCTTCTTTCAAGTATATATGATTTTTTCTTTTGAAGCTTACACCCCAGCTTCATTGCTCCCATTCTAGTTCGTTTTTATATGTTTTTAGGTTACAACTGAATTGATTTATGCTGAATTGTTTTCTGACATTTTTAATAATAACATAGATTAGAGAAGGGCTACACTATAATCCTTATTTCCCTGGTGGAGCTATTGCTATGCCTAAAATGCTTAATGACGGTGCTGTTGAATATGAAGATGGTACCCCTGCGACAGAGGCACAGGTGACTTCCGTTGCCTTTGAGTTGCTTTATTATTCATAGTATCCTTTCAAATCTGGAAATCATGTTATGTTACTTCCTCATTGTCCAGATGGGAAAAGATGTCGTGTCATTTTTGTCATGGGCTGCTGAACCAGAAATGGAAGAACGGAAGCTGGTAAGATCTATCTCCCTCTCTCTATCTATCTACTTGGCAATGAGAACTAATTTCATCCCCAATACCAGTAAAATCTATCCATTTAATTGATAATTTTCATGTAAAAAAAGTTAAACGAACATCAAAAAACACTTATTTCAACATTTTCCATGTGGAAAATTATACCAATGAAACACAATAATTTACAATTCCCAGGAAAATTATTTCTAGACAATTCAATTCCTTAGAATTCGTTTTCAATTCAATTCCATCTTTGTAATCAAATGGACCCTAAAAGAAGTTAAAAAGGATACAAACTTCTAGTAATCTATAATTATATCAAAATATCAAAATTAATCTTATCTAATCTAATTAAATACACTTTAAATCAAATTTTATTTTAAACTCCTAATTAAATCTATCTCTATCTTTATTCTAATCTTGATCTCCATTGGTTATTTTTTGGTAAAAATCATATTTTTAGCAGATTTTGATAATAGTTGATGAAAAGTATTATTGAAAAGTTGATAAAAGTCGTGGATTTCATTAAATATGTGGTTGAAAACAGTTTGGGAAAAAAATGATACTCTAAGTTGAGTCCAACCAATTCTAGCCTTTGATGATGACCATACTTATATGACAACTATTGAAATTTATTTTGGTTTTAAGGTAGATGTTCTCTATTGATTTGATTGAGTGAGATTCAAGTCCAAAGAAGTTTGATAATTAAGTATTAAGCCCTTGCTTGAGCCTTATTTTTTCCATCAAAATCTATTCTTAATCAGTGATTTGATCTATTTCAGCCACACATTCTTCAATAAAATAATATTACATGCAAACCCAAAATTTTTTCTTGTTTCTTAATCATACATTATCGATCATGACAATATTACAAAATGCATTTTTTGAAAAAAATGGGCTCAAACAAGCCCTAAATGTTTCTGGACTACATTTAAAGTTAACCAGTATTTTCTTAAAATTGTGTCTTAAAGCACTGATTTTCTTCTTAGAATTCCTTTGTCAGTAAGATGTTTAATCAGCTGGGTATAATAATAAAAATGCATATGTTATATACAACCAATATACAGGCAAGCAAGTCTTATTCCTAGATACATAGTGTCGGTGGATGCACACACCATGATTCCAATTAATTTAAAAAAATACCTAATTTCTAAAAGAAAAACCTAAATTATGGGAAAAACATAAATAATGCTTATGAAGCTTGTATCCTTAGTATCGGTGATGATACTGGAAGAAAACATGTAGGGTGGAGGTAGTACAATGTTGTTCGCCTTGCATTACGAATTTCCAGTTTGAAAATTAGATAAGTTAAAATTTACTTATAATATATGGCACTCACTATTTGAATGAATTTTTTTCACATATTTTAATGAGACAACTATTAATGAAAGAACAATGGTGTAGCAATATTTAAGTTTTGATAAATTTTGATACTTGAAAGGGATACTGAACTACTTTAATACTTTTGACACTTGTATAGAAGTTTATCATAGTTTATGTTTTCAATTTACACACACACATTTGGAACTTTCACTGGGATATGGGTAAGTAACTATCATTCTTCCAGAGAGGTCTTGGGGAAATTGGAAGTTCTTTTTTACATACTGGTGTACAATAAATGAGCCTGTATATGATTCAAGAACTAATAATATATCTGTCAAATTTCTCTGTTCTTGCTATGTAAAGCGCTTTGCTTACCTGCTGCAATTGTGGGGGCTATCGTACTTCCCATGATTCTACTGTGTGACATCCCACTGATTGATTTTTATCTTGGCGTTAAAAACCTTTCTTCACGCGAACCCTCCGATGTCTCTCGTCATATCCAAACCAACCCTTCCACCACCCAACCTCACCGTTGCCGGCCTCTCCGACGCCCGTTATCAAACCTAGAATTGGAGACCCACCGACACCAGCCTCACGCCACAAAAATCCAGCCTCGCATGCCTAGAAGAGTCCGAACAAGCCATAAGATCTACCTTGGTTCGACCAGATCCAGGTCTCACGCGCCTAACCGACCGCTTCTGCAGGTCGTTCTGCCTTCAGCCGATCAGGCGTGTGGGCCACCGACCGATCAGGCGGCTCGTGGCCCACATTTCCAAGTTCCTCCCGCTACTACGAAGCCATTCCGACCATTAGTTCTGTCATCTTTCGGCCCGTTATCATAAAATCATGGGAAACAGCCTTATGTAGTGGAGCATATGGTTTTTAGTTCACACTTTAGAGTCGAGGCGAAGGAGTTTGTAGTGTCCGTTATCACCTTTGGTGTTGTTAAGCGTTCGAAATGGGGTTCGAAGATATCGGGTGCTATATGTATGGGCCGATTTGGTGCCGTGTGGATGGTGAATATGGTGGATAAGTTGAGGAGGGCTAATAAGATGGAGGAATTCGTTGCCAAGTTCAATGAATCTTCCCGCGCTTTCTTGGCACAACGTTGTGCAAACAGTCGTGGCAGGTTTCTCATGGTAGGACAGTATGGGGAGAAGCGAAGAAAGGAGGTTGTAATGGTACCGGAAGGTACAAATGGAGAGGGATGGGAATCGGCTTCACGCATGTTCCAAGTAGTCATTGCTTCCTTTGTGGCGAGGGACAAGGTGGTGTGTCAAACAACTGAAGAAAGAAGCCGACGAGGGATGACTTATGCCGAAACCACGACAAATGCACGAGCTTCGTAAAGCTCTGATCAGAGGGTAATGTTGCAGAAGGAAAGGGTGGGCAATGAGAGAAATGATCCCCATGTTGAATTAATAGCTCGCATATAGGTGTTGAAAGGGGAATTGGATGGATTGATAAAAGTTGTGGAAAGTGGGTCCAGGTTAAATTATTGCCATGAGTGTGGGGTGAGATTGGAGGAGTCAGCTTATTTGGATGTCAAGGAGCCCGCGTCGATAGGGGTTCTGACTAAAGATAATCAGATGCTGGATAAGCCTTGTGGCAAGTCCCAGACGGGGCTGAAGTGGACATTTCTTTTGGAGATGAGAATCGGGATAAGATGGAGGGAACGAAAAGGGGTGGAATGGAACCAAGGATCGAGGCATATCGAGGGGCGGAACCTCGGACGGAAGTAGGAGAGCGGGGCATTATGAATATTGACTAGGAAGTTTTGAACAGAGTTATTTGTTCTACGATCGTGGGGTCATTAGACACGATTCCACTTGTAAAGGGATCATTTTCAAATGATGTGTAAGAGGTTGGACTTGAATTGGGTGAAAACTCAGGGTCGGCACTTGAAGACTAGCATGGGAAAACAGGCTCGGCCACTAAGGTAGTGAACACCTACAGCAGGAGATGCTCTAAGTCTTCGAAAGAATGGGGTCTAGGGAATGATAATGCGTTGGTGGTGTGGGTGGGCGGCGATGAGAAGGGAAACATAGATAATGTTGCTGAATAGCTGGAGGAAGAGGAGGGCCACTACTACGATCCTATTTATGCTGAGGAGATAGCAAAAGTTAGTGCACTTGACGTCAGACCACCACCTTCTAATTGGATTCTCCAAAGAATTCTGGATTTTAGCAAGATGGTAGGGATGTTTTGTGATGGGTATGAAGATAGGCTCATGCAATTATTTGAGGAATTGTAAGCTAGTAGGGGACAAGGGATGGGCACTCCAGGAGGTAAGATAAGAAGAAAGAGCAATCGTAGGTGGCGAGTCGAGGAAAGGCCTGATGGGGAGGGATGATGGAGTATTAAGATGATTCGAAAATAATTAGTTGGAACGTAGGGGGCTTAATGAAGTAGGGAAAATGTTAGGAGTTCGAAATCTATTAAGAGGATGGAGGGCTGACTTGTATGTTTACAAGAAACAAAGCTTGAGGTTGTGTCAAGGGATATTGTGAGTAGCCTTTGGGGGGGACAGCATGTGGGGTATCAATTTGTAGGGTCATCGGGGGCCTCAGGAGGTATACTAATAATGTGAGACACTAGAGTCTTTGATATGGAGGAGGTTAGCGAAGGTCTGTTTTCTCTATCGATCTCGTTTAGAAACATCGATGACAGTTTCCCGTGGATGTTTATAGGAGTCAATGGGCCAAACGTAGGTGAGCATAGAAGTGGATTGTGGGTTGAATTGGCTGGAATGATGGGTTGGTGGAACCTTCCAACGTGTATCGGGAGAGATTTTAATGTGATCCGTTTTCCTACTGAGAGGTCTAGTGGAGGACTTTTCAGATTTTACTAGGGAGAATGCGTTGGTGGACCTGCCTATGATTGGGGGAGACTTTACTTGGTCATCTAATCGGGATCAACCTATCCTATCCCGAATAGATCAGTTTTTGGTATGTGGGCCATGGGAGGCTAAGTATCCAAAGGTCATTCAGAGGAGAATGGAGAGACTGTATTCTGAGCATTTCCCTATATCGTTATTTGGGAATGTGAGGCGCTGTGGAAAAAAACCTTTGAAGTTTGAGAAGATGTGGCTTAAAGTAGATGGTTTTGAGGAACGAGCACGGACTTGGTGGGCATCCTATGACTTCAGGGGATCTCCTAGTTATGTATTGGATTGCAAATTGAAGGCATTGAAAAGGGATCTAAAGAGGTGGAATGATGAGGTGGTGGGAGATGTTAGCCATTGCAAAAATCAATGCTTATCAAACATTGAAGAGCTGGATAGGAGGGAGTAAAGTCAAGGACTGGTAGGAGAAGAGAGGGTGAGACGAGGAGAAATAAGGAAAGAATTGGAGAGGCTGGTGGAAATGGAGGAGACTACTTGGCGTTAGAAATCTAAGATCAAGTGGTTGAAAGAAGGGGACAAATGCACCCGCTTTTTTCATAGGGTCGCGAACTCCAATAGGCACAACAATTCTATCAATATGTTGAAGGTAGATGGCGTTACCTATGAGGATCCACAGGATATAGGGACCCAGATGGTAAGCTTCTATCAGAATCTTTATCAGGAGCAATTTGACTGGAGGCTAGAGTTGGAAGGGCTAGAGTTTCCTTCTATATCTAAGGAGGACGCCAGTTGGTTAGAAAGGCCATTTGGGGATGATGAAATTAGGGAGGTGGTGCTTAGCATGAATGATGATAAGGCGCCAGGACCGGACGAATTTTCGTTCTCATTCTATAGACTTGTTAGGAAGTGGTGCGATCTGACATTATCGAAGTCCTTACTTATTTCTTTCAATGTGGAAGGTTCCTGAGAAGTGCCAATGCTACATTTATTGTGCTGATTCGAAAGAAATCGGGAGCGATAGATATTAAAGAGTTTCATCCTATTAGCCTCATGAGCAGAGTTTACAAGATTATTGCAAAGATTTTAGCAAATAGATTGAAGAAGGTGCTAGGAAAAGTGGTATCCAAGTTTCAGAATGCATTCGTTAAAGGACGCCAGATGTTGGATTCAGTACTTATAGCAAATGAATGCATTGACTCAAGACTGTGTCTGGGTGCCCCTAGAATGCTATGCAAGCTTAACTTTCAGAAAGCTTACGATCACGTAAATTGGAGATTTCTTTTGTATATGCTAAGGCGATGTGGCTTTGGGGATAAGTGGATTCAGTTTTGCATCTCCATAGTTTCCTTTTCAGTTATGGTGAACGGCATTCTGGAGCGTTATTTTCGTAGTAGTAGAGGATTGAGACATGGGGATCCTTTATTCCCATTGCTGTTTGTTATTGTAATGGAGGTTTTCAGTAGGATGCTCAAGAAGGCTGTGGGGGATAGTTTACTGAGGGGTTTTATGGTTGAGCAGTTTTAGGTATCTCATTTGCTCTTCGCAGAGGACACATTGATTTTCTGTGACGCAGATGTAGAGCAAATTAGGAACTTGTGGCGTTTGCTCCTGTGCTATGAAGCTGTATCTGGATTGAAAATAAATTTAGGGAAATCTGAAGCTGTCACAGTGGGAGAGGTGGATAACATGGTGTTGGCTGCTTTACTAGGATGTAGGGTTGCCTATGACATATATTGGGCTGCCTTTAGGCGTACGGTTTAAAAGCACACATATTTGGAATAGTATTGTTGAAAGGGTGGAGAGAAGGCTAGCGAGATGGAAGCGTATGTACCTCTCAAAGGGAGGGCGTCATACTCTCATAAGGTCCACATTGTCGAACCTCCCTACTTCATGTTATTGTTTCCTATTCCTGTTGCAGTAGCAAAAAAATTGGAGAGGATCCAAAGGGAGTTTCTTTGGGGAGGATTAGGAGAGGAGAAGAAATTACATTTAGTTAATTGATATGTCGTATGTTCTCCCATGAGGTTGGGTGGTCTTGGATTGAGGAGTCTTGTACTGTTTAATAAAGTTTTGCTGGGTAAGTGGTTGTGGCGATTTGGAAAGGAGAGGGGGAGTTTTTGGAGAGAAATTATAGGAGCAAAATATGGTGTTATGGAGGGGGATGGTGCTCAGTCGAGAATCGAGGCTCTTATAGGGTGTCTGTGGCTCTATATCCAGCGAGGGTGGAGCGATTTTTGGGATAGATTGACTTTTGTAGTGGGGAATGGTAATACTATCAGTTTTTTGGATGATTGTTGGTGTGGAGATCAACCACTAAGATTGAAATTTCCTTCTTTATATCGTATTGCATTGTTGCCATCTGTCATGGTGAATGATGTTTTAGATATACATAATGGGAGTATCATTTGGAACATTGCTTTTGCACGGGGTTTGCAGGACTAGGAGTTAGATGATTGCGTGCTATTTTTGACATCTTTATATGAGGTACAAATAAGGGCAGGAGATGGCGATTGCAGTAGGTGGAAGTTGGCACGGGATGACATGTTTTCATTCGGCACTTTCTTTAAATCTTTATTGTGATCTGAGAAGAGCTCTTTCCCCTGGAAGGCGGCGTAGAAGAGTAAACTGCCACCAAAGGTAGCATTTTTACTATGGACAGTGGTCAGAGAACAGGTGCTAATGGCGGAAAACCTATGGTCAAAGGGTTTTTGTGTTACAGAGTGGTGCTATATGTGTAGGAGGGATGGGGAGACGAATGATCACTCGTTCTTCCATTGTGATGTTGCTAGTTTATTGTGGAATGAGATTTTCGCATCACAACACATAGATTGGGCGATGCCAAGGCATATGGAAGACGTGTTGAATGCATGGAGGAGAAAATTTCGAGACAAGGATAGCAATCATGCATGAGAGCTTATTCCGGGCTGCATAGTTTGGTGTGTGTGGAGAGAAACGAACAGCCGATGTTTTGACAATCTAACAAGAACAATAGAACAACTTAGGGAATTGTTTTATTTCACATTGTACACTTGGTTTAATGCGGTGGCTACTAAGCGGCTGTCTAATTTTATGTCGTTTCTTTCAGATTTGTATTGATAATACATTTCTTGTGTATTATGGTTTGATTAATAAAATACTTGATTATCTTTAAAAAAAAAATAAAAAAAAATTAGACCTTCTCACTCTATTAATTAATTTCTTGGGCATTTAATGCAATGTCATGCATATAGAATTTACAGGTTTGAGGAGAATTCTAACCCTCTTTATTTCTTTGAGTACAATTACTAAACGGGGAAAACTTTGCATTTTCACTTAGATGAAAAAGCATGCACATTTTGTGAAACATGATCCAGAACCATTTGGTAGTCTTCCAAAGCACAATTCTGTGTACTGCTTTGCTTGGGACTCTATTGTTTGAATTTCTTACGTCATTGTTTTTATGAAGCATGATGTTTTACAGAAATTATGTAATGAAATTTCCGCTCCTCATGTATATAGTATGATTTCCAGGCTCCTTCACTCTTGCCAGCACTTCTTTCAAAGCATGGTCAAGATGGTAGCGTGTCTACTGGCACGAAGTCCTTAAAAGTATTTTCACTTCTTGGTGCTGGAGCATTGGGCCTCCTGAGTTGTGCAACAGTAGCTTCTTCTGATGAGGCTGAGCATGGGTTAGAGAGTCCCAACTATCCATGGCCTCACGAGGGCATTCTCAGTTCATACGACCATGCTTCGTAAGCAATGCTTTTTTGCTCTAGTATTCTTCAACAGTTTGAGAAACTATTACACAAGGTCTAACCTGTCTGATTGAATTTGGAAACAAAATCACTATGGGGGCGCCAATATGGAACTTGTGTTTTCCAATAGTGGCCCTTAACCTAATTTATTTTTGAGGTCACTGATTTTTCAGAAAGAAATTTTGAGTGTCTAGTATCTGTTTGAATCCATTCTTTGATACAAACTCCTTCTCATGGCTGTGAAAACTTTCATGTGCAGGATTCGTCGGGGTCATCAGGTTTACCAGCAAGTTTGTGCATCGTGCCACTCAATGTCTCTAATTTCTTATCGTGACCTAGTTGGTGTGGCTTACACTGAGGAAGAAACTAAAGCTATGGCGGCAGAGATTGAAGTGGTTGATGGTCCAAATGATGAGGGTGAGATGTTCACTCGCCCTGGGAAACTGAGTGATCGTTTTCCTCAGCCTTATGCTAATGAACAAGCTGCAAGGTTTGCCAATGGAGGTGCCTATCCCCCTGATCTAAGTCTTATAACCAAGGTGTCCTTTTGCTCTTTCTAGATTCAAATAAGTTTTAAGTAATGTTTATACCTTCATTGCTAATTATTTACCTTGCAGGCCCGCCATAATGGACAGAATTATGTTTTTGCTCTTCTAACTGGGTACCGCGATCCTCCTGCTGGTGTGATGGTAACTTCTGCTTCTGAACTGTCTGTTTTGTTTAAAAAAAATAGCGCAAATAGTAATGATATATTATATAAATTTTGCTTACACTGTTGCAAGATAATCTAAACCATACATTGATGCAATGTACAATTTTAAATTGGTTGCTCCTATTTTTGACCTGACATCATTCTAAATGGTGTAGTACGAGTACCAAATTTTTTAATGTTGAGATCCTCTGTTGCACACCTCTCCTACTCTTGTTCATAGAAGCTCTTGAATAGGTGTTATAGGAAGCTCTCTTACTGGATGTTAAGGTAGCGTTGGGCATGTATCCAAGTATTTTTAAAATGTGGATTCTTATGCATAAGATAAAAGGATCCATATGTCATAAGGTTGTCTGAGTCTGGAGTGCCTGAAATAGGCACTCTAGCTTCTTTCATGAGTCCATATAATATAGCCCTTCTTTCAAGTATATATGATTTTTTCTTTTGAAGCTTACCCTCCTCCGGCTTCATTGCTCCCATTCTAGTTCGTTTTTATATGTTTTTAGGTTACAACTGAATTGATTTATGCTGAATTGTTTTCTGACATTTTTAATAATAACATAGATTAGAGAAGGGCTACACTATAATCCTTATTTCCCTGGTGGAGCTATTGCTATGCCTAAAATGCTTAATGACGGTGCTGTTGAATATGAAGATGGTACCCCTGCGACAGAGGCACAGGTGACTTCCGTTGCCTTTGAGTTGCTTTATTATTCATAGTATCCTTTCAAATCTGGAAATCATGTTATGTTACATCCTCATTGTCCAGATGGGAAAAGATGTTGTGTCATTTTTGTCATGGGCTGCTGAACCAGAAATGGAAGAACGGAAGCTGGTAAGATCTATCTCCCTCTCTCTATCTATCTACTGTTATTCTATAAAATTTGAATTCAGTTTTTCGCTTTCCAGTGCTGTTACCCTCCCTCCTTCCCTCTCACCCCTTCCATTTGCAGCATATCAATGAACCCTCAACTGAACCTTATCCCAGAATGTCATTCATGATCTAAAACCATTACCGTTGTGCAGTTTCAGATCCACCATAGTTTGCCCAACTATCGTTTTTCATTTTTCATTTTTATTTTCCTGTCTTTAGAGTCCAACTATCGATTTTTCTTCTGTTTTCCATGTCTAAGTTTTTAAAATTATATTGCTAATTGTCTCACATGTTTTTTCTTTCTATTCACCCATTGAAATGGTTAAAGGTTGGGTAACAAAAGTCGATTAGAAAAGTGATACACAGTAATCTTTCATAGCGGTAACAATAAATAAAGGCAGTGGTTGAGACCTCTGATTCCAAATTTATATATCTTCTACTTGTTCATGTCCTTTTTTGGGTTCTCTAACCTTCTTCAATTGTAATGCTGACAGATGGGTTTCAAATGGATTTTTGTATTGTCGCTTGCACTTCTCCAAGCAGGCTACTATAGACGCTTGAAATGGTCGGTTCTCAAGTCCCGGAAGTTGGTCCTCAATGTAGTCAACTAAACCTCAGAGAGTTTCACCAAGATCTTCGGGGCGCAAGCAGTAAATAAACGTCGGAATTTAATTTTAGATCTCACGGTGAATTTAATGCATTTTTCCATGGCCTATACTCGAGGCAAAATGCAATCCAATTTATTAATTGGTACTATGAGTATGCTTTTTGAGGAATAAATAGTAACTGGTTACTCAATATTTGTTTTTATACGATGACTTTGTGTTTTTACCCTCTTAAAGTTTGAGGGTTGGTTTCTCTGTATACGATCTTGATGTGCTATATGTTGCCCCATCTGGAAAACTTTTGAATGGAGATTAATTTATTTTCTCGTAAATAGTGTCCCTATTTTCTGTTAAAATTCTCCTGCAGAAGAGCATGTTTTTGCAAGGCATGAGCAGCCTTAATAGTTTCAAGCGGGACAAAACAGCAATCTAAATGCTAGAGAGATTCAGCATGTTTCGAAATTGTTTATGAACGGTTTAAATTATAAGAAACGGAAACGAGTGGAGGATGAGTGGTATTACTTGAGGGTGCCAAGAAAATGCGGTTGAACATTCGGCCGAGAAAGGTGAAACATTCACTGGTGCTGACTTGGCAAAATCGGCTACTACTTTTCCGTTATGATGTTGACAGATGCTCCCTAAACCATACCCATTTTGCCGTCCTTAAGGGCTGCGTCTACATTTACCTTCAATTGATCGACTAGCGGATCGACCATTTAGGACAAGATTAAGTGTTGAAGGGCCCAGCTTCAAATTTTTTCCCATTATTTTTTTTTTGTTGGGAATTGAGATCAATCCCTCTATTTTACACACAATATCCTAGTTTAGAGACCCCCGGGGGGGGGGGGGGGTTTGAAAAATATTTTTAGATTGACGGTTTTATTAGATGATGGAATTGCAGGTGGGGAGACACAAATAAGCCTAGGCAAAAAATTCGAAAAACCGATCAAACTGAACTTACTCAGGTCAGTTTAACATAGGTGATTGGTTTGGTTTGGTTTGGTTTTTTTTTTAAACAAAATCATGATTAGTTGGTTTAGTCATGGTTTGAGGTCTTCAATTGTTGGTTAGTCGAATCAATTTGATCCACTTGCATATTCATTTTTTTTTTTTTTTAAATTTAAGAAAAACAAAAATCAAAAGATAAGCCTTAATCTTATAATAAATATCTCGGTTCTCTCTCATCTATGATGTTTCCGGCAAATAATATCACTTGAAATTTCCTTTCACGAGCTTTTTATGTTATACTTAACTTTTTTTTCCCTAAGTAGACAGACACACTATATAATATATAAAAAGCAATCAAATTCTTAAGTTTCTGTTCATCCGTCTTCATAAATCTAATTTTATTTGTGAGTCAATAGTTCTTGTAATATAAAATTATTTGTTTATTTTAGTTCTTGTACTCTAAGTGAATTTAAAACTCAAACAATTTTTTTTTTTTAATAAAAATTCGATTTGGATTAGAAGTCTAAATCGACTAACCAAACCAAACTATTTGGTTAGGTAGAGTGGGTTGGTTTGGATTGAAATTTGTTAACAAAGTAATTTGATTTTGGTTACTAGTTAGAGTCGAAATCAACCCAAACCAAACGGCAACTACGCCTAACTAAGATTACGTCCATAAAAGAAAAAAGAGGAAATTACAACCATCCATATTTTTCAAATTTTTATTTTTTATTATTTTTATTTCAATAACCAGGTGTATCCTATCCATCCCACCCACCCATACCCTAACCTTAATCCCAACCCCACCTACCCCAATTCATTTCTCAAAATGAAAGTTCGCAAAACATCAAGTCCATTCCACTTTTGCCCATCATTGGTGCTTTTCTAACTGCTTTGTGTTGGAATGTGGAAGTAGAATTATTCAGAAATTAAAAAAAAAAAATCTTCAATTCAATAAATAAAATTGTCTAGATGTTCATATGTATGTCATATTAAGAATAAATGATTTGAATTATTATTATTATTATTTTTTTTTTATCTAAATTTGATGGTCATCTCTTGAATAAATTCTAAATCACGAACTTTCAGCTTTTTGAATTACGATTTTTCAACTCTCAATTCCAAGAACTTGATACTTTAAACCTTCAAATCTTCTATAATATTCTTCAAAGTCAAAACTACACGATGGGTGTGCACATTCTTTTAATTAAATCAGGAAATTAATTCTTGAGCTGGAAAGTTAAATAAAGCAAGAAACATAATTTTCTCTCTTTTTTCTGTCGAAATTTGGATCCTATGAGATTATGTATTATAATGTTGCACAAATTCATAGGATATCTAGGTTCGATCTAATCTCTATTTATAGAGATATAATAGTTCCAATTCTTGTATAATAATAATAATTCCACATTCAAATAAGAGTTCTAATTAAAATCCAAACATGAATTTTAATTAAAGTTCAAATTCAATTAGTTTATATTTAATTATATGTGTAGTCCTAAAACTTCAATTACAATTACAATCAAGTTTACAACTTTCATAGTAATTACAAGTATGGTTACCGTAATTAAGTTCCAATACTTTATAGAGCTACCACAGGAACCTAATCGGACATATATTATCCAAGCTCCAATAATTAGATCCCGTTTAGTGGACCCTAGACCATCCAATCTAATTATTAGCCTTTGTTTTTTCCACTAAAATCAAAATACTGAACTCTTGGAATATATAAGATCGCCGAAGCCCATAAATTCGTAATGTTTTCCTTTGACTTGTCGTATATGTATTTTATCCCCATTTGAGATCCGATAATTAGGTATGAGCATAAATCACCGTTTTGCCCTTCTAATTATTCTCACCGACTTAAGTATCATTTCTTCAATGGTCCTGTGAACTATTCACAGATGTCGAAATTTAGCTGTCGGTAAATATTGAGTTCAGATTTTAATTATTCAACAGAAAATACTTAAATAGTGACTCTACCCATTTTTAGGGTGACTCTTTCGACACAAATTCATGTTCTCCACTTCACTTATTATCAAATTCCCAATTCATCGAGATATTTGACCAATCAAATTGATCTCATCCATTGATAAATCAAAAAATCATTAAAATCACGAAAAGATATACAAAACCCTATCAATGGATTTAAATGGAATACATAGTGGTCTCTATATGGTCATGCTATAGAATTAAATTCGAGACGTGGTCATTCAATACACTCTAAGTGTACTAGTGTCACCTTTAACTATTTTTGTGATAAGGACAAATTACAAACATGAATAGTAAACCGGTATATACAACAGCTTTCCAGTACAAGGTACCAACTAGTATACATAGGTTGTGATCAAATTATTTATGATTAAAATATAAGTTGTATCACACTGTACTTTTCAATACAAGTATCCAATTTATATTATCACAAGTGA